GGTTGACTTTTGTTTTCAGTTTTGTACTTTTGCTTCTACTTTATTTGCTTTCACTTGTAGAAGATGCCTTATCCTCATTTCTTCCTTTTGTCTTATCAATAAAATCATTTTTGTTGTCGATCAAAAAAAAACCACCAAGTAGGATAAGGTTTTCATATTTTTTATGCATAAAACTGATGATTAAATTGATTTCAAGTTGAAAATGGCCCCAAGCCAAAAGCAACCCAAGTTAGTTGGCTGAGTATTAATGTCTCAACAAGGTCCCATAATTAAATCTAGAGACGCCAACTGATACTTTGCAAGTCAATCAATTTTCCTCAAGAAGGGGAAAATCCAAAGAGTATAAGTCAAAACAATTGTATCACATAATGCCTTCTGAAATTTAGTATTGATCTACAACGAACAACCCAAAACTAAGTATCAAGGTTATCTATTGAATGAATTGAAAATTCAATTGTCAAAGTACTCATCAAACCCCAATACTCGACTTTTTAACGAATTTAAATATTCAATTAGCAAGATTCAGCCACTTATTAGAGTCCTATAGGGTTATGGTACTAGACTAACAAATGCTTATACCTAGACTTAATTACATATAGAAACAAATCTGAAATTACATTTCCTTTGACATGGAACAGTGTTATTAAAGGTGATAGGTGCACTAAAATGCCAAGGTTTCCTAGGGCCTAGGCGCAAGGCGAGGCACAGGTTTCATCAAAGTGAGGCTCATGTTGATGATAAAAAAAACCTATAAAAAAATATAAGAAAATAAAGTTTCAACATAAATAAAATGTAACATTAAATATTTTAAAACATAAACACCAATATCTTATCATAAACAAATAATTTAAGGTTGCACACACACAATCATCTAACTCATAAATCGTAAACATCTCTGTTATCAGAATCTTACGATTCGCGATTCGATTCGCGATTCGATTCATAATTTTTGCAAAATCGATACGAATCTATAGGAGAATCTCTCTGTTATCAAAATCTTACGATTCGCGATTCGATTCACGATTCGATTCGAATTTTTTGCAAAATCGATACGAATCTATGGATGAATCCACTTTGGAAGTAAATCTCTAATGAATCGCACGATTTCACAATCAATTTACGATTCAATTCACTTTTTACGATTCATTTAATTTTTTAAATTATTGTGTCCGATATATTTTCAACTATTTCTTTCTCCATATTTTTAGTGAAAATGACATAATACAACGTCTAATAGCGTTTAATACCAAAATAACCAACATATATGCATAATTTGTTATTATTTTAGTGATCATGAAGTTTTCAATAAAATCCAATCAGATTCAGTCAGACCTAACATATTTTTAACATTTCTTCTCATTTTTTTCCCATTTAAAAAATCATAATATATCTTCTAAAGATATTTAAGATTAAAGTTACACTATGAATTATCTATTGCTATTTTATTAAATTGAATATAATTGAATATTACATATGTGAAGTCAGTTATACCTTTGAAAATGTTTTAGGCTTTCCAATAAAATATTCTAAATAATTCTTTCTTATTATTTGTTCACTATTACTTAGAAAAGTATGTATGCTTATTGTCCAAATATCAATATCGTTATTAATTATTGTTATTTTGAAAATTGATAATTTGTTTATTTGGTTATTATCTTTATTAAGAATGGTTGGTAAGAAATATCTAAAAAGAAAAAAAGTATGATAGTGATCTTACATAAGAATTTTGTTAACTTCTTACCTATTAAAATACGTGATTATCATTCAAAATAACATTTTCATTGATTTAAGTCTAAATATTTCATATTTATAAGATATATTTAACATCTAAATTTGTAAATATATATTTTTAAGTAATTTTAAAAAAGTGACCGAATCTTTACGATTCACGATTCGATTCGATTCACGATTCGGTACAAGGTCATTTCGATTCACGACACGAATCTCGATTTGACAACTATGGTAAACATTTGAAAATAGGGACAAAATCAAAATGCTTTACAAAATAAAACTTCTTGTTGATTTTCAAAAAAAAAAAAAAACAAAATGAGAAGAAGGGAATGATGAAAAAGAATAAGGACAACTGTTAGTTTGGTCGAAGAAAAAGATCTATCCAACCAACATTTTTGTATAATTTGGGCTCAAAAAGTGTTGGGTTGCAATGTATGTTTAAGGGTTTAATCCCTTGCAGCAACATGTAAGAAAAAAATAATGAGATTAAGTGCAATCGTAATTGTAATAAACAAATATTTTAAAAGCACACAAGTCGTGCACCTTGAGCTTAAGCCCAAAGCGCCACTTCATGTGCCTTTATGAGGCCTGTTTTATATCGCCTAGCCTGAGATGTTCTGAAACCTAAGATGCACAGACATTTTTAAAAAGGTAACGTATCTGTGTCGTGTCCATGTTAGACACCACCGACACTCTTTGGACACTTCCCCAACACGTGTCCGAAACTCTTCAAAACGCGTCCTAGTTTTTTTTTTTTTTTTTTTTAAAGACCCGGACCTAAGAAACAAGGACACGAACACGTGACACGACACAACACGAACACGTAAATTTTCAAAAAAGCATAGGACACGACACTTTGGGGACACGTGCAAAAAATATAATTTTATATATTTATTGTATGCCATATTTTTAAATGTTTAATATGTATTTTATGTCAAATATTTAATTTTATCAAATTTATCAACTTTACGTATGTTATTTTAGTAAAAAAATTAAAAATTTTAATTTTTTTAAAAAATAGTCCTCATTTAGTCCTTAACGTATCGTCAGCTTGTCCTCAACATGTCCCTACATGTCTGCAGCATGTCCGTAGCGTGTCCCAAGTGTCCCAACATGCCCGACTCTTTCTAGCATGTCCAACACGTGTCCAGAACATGTCCGGCGCGTGTCCATGTCCAACACGTGTCGAACACTCATACGTAACCACCGGAGAGGTGTCCGTACTTCATAGATACTATCTCAACCTTACCCACGTATCTTTAAGTCCATTATTATTTCGTGCTCAATTACAATGAGATTAGAAAGGTTGCATAGGGACTTTCTTTGGGGTGGTCTAGAGGATTTTAAAAATCAAATAGTGTATTAGAATAAGTCTAATTATCCATTTTGCAAAGAGGTGCACAAATTGGAGGTGTTCAACAAAAATCTATCGGGTAAGTGGCTTGGAAGTTCAGTTTGGAGGACAAGAGATTATAAAGGAAGATGGTAAAGCGGTAGAATGGGAGACACTGAGGTAATTAGTCCATTGGCAGTGTTAGTGGCCAACTGGGCCTTATCGTGGTATGGGATGAGTTTTCCAAAATAATTATTTTCAAAATGGGTGACGAGGGGAGCGTGATGTTTTGGCTTGATCCATGGTGTGATCATAGAATTCTTAGGGAGGTTTTCCAAATTTCCTTTGCTTGGCTCATGACACTAATTCAGATGTGAAGGACTAGTTGCAACTCTCTAATTGTGGCATGGTGTGGAATCCTTGATTTTGTAACGCATTGCAAGATTGTTAATGGGGCTTTCTTTGGGGTTTATAATTCTATCATTCATCAAGGAGACACCGATTGTATGGCTTGGAGGGTTTTCAAAAGCTGGGTGCTCTCAGTCTGCTCCTTTTACCATGATCTGTTACATTATAGTGATCTCTTTGGGACTTGGAGGGGCATTTAGAGAAATAGAGCTTCTCCCAAAGTTGTTTTCTTTGCTTTTAATAAGATAAGCTTCCAAAGCTCCTTCAGGTGGGTGAGCCTTCGCTTTTTGTTTCCCATTTTGGACAACTGCTAACAAAGTCATCTTGACTATTGACAGCCTTGGGAAGAAGCATAAGGTGATTATTTACAGGTTTTGTATATGCAAACAGGTGTAGGAGGGTGTCCACCACCTTCCTTTGCATTCCCCAATGGCTGGTGATCTATAGCAAACAGGTGTAGGAGGGTGTCCACCACCTTCCTTTGCATTCCCCAATGGCTGGTGATCTATAGAGCTTCATATGTGCAGTTTTTGATGTGGTGTGGTGTGGTGTGGCTGAATGCTGATGCCATCTTCAGTAAGCAAGCTGCTGACTAGTTAGAGTTCTTGTTGTCCTATTAAGGCTGAAAGAAAGGCGTGGCAGACTGCAACATTGGGTATTTTGCAAACAATTTGGAGGGAATGCAATAGGACATGTTCAAAGAGGTTGAGTTACCTATTTGTGTTCTGAAACAGTTTCTGCTCCTTTCTCTATTTTTTGATTGAGAGAGGACAGTCCTTTCTCAGTTGTCTTTTGTGCAGTTTATAAGAGATTTGTACATGCCATTGAATATACAACTTTTTGGCCCTGGATTTTTCACAGGGATTTTTGTTGATACAAATTTTCCTATAAAAATAAGATACTCATTATAGTCACACACGCATGCAAATATGCATGCATTTACAAAAACTGACCTTAAACATCTTTTGCAGCGTGCAAGCTACTTGACAACAATAAAAGATGCATTTTCCATTTCATCATTTTTCTAATCTATCTATATTAGACAAAAGTGATATCAACACAAGCACATTAGGACAGCATCCAGGTCACCAACAGATTGTGCCTATGTCCATTAAGATGTTTGTTAGACACCTTAGTGAATCTCACCATATCCACACCAATTACAAGTTGCCTAGGCTAGGCATATGTATGAACACCAAGAGAGCCCAGAACATGATAGTGATATAATGGATAGACACCGTGAAGCATATCCATAATATATGCATTTGCATACACTCCTCATTCTGATGTGGCAGCAGGTATCAGCAAATAAAATCAATGGAAGCAACTAGAGACATACAGAAAAAAAGATTTAACATATTTCAACGATAATTAGAGTATGCAGAAGAGTAAACTCAAAACAAAATTGATAGAATCTGAAATCCAACTAGTAGAACAAACTCTGAATTATGCAAAACTAATGAGGTAGGGTTGTTAATAGAGACAGCAAGATGGGACAATTAGCATCACTATACAAAAAGTTATGTACCTGAAAATGAACCGCGTGGATCAAATTCGTCAAAGCCATTAACTTGCTGGTTTACAGGAGCAGGAGCAGGAGGAGAAGCAGGAGCAGGAGCAGGAGCAGGAGCAGGAGGGGAAGCAGGATCCAGAGCATGAGCCGAAGAAGCAGACATGTCGGGTACAGGGATTGCTTGGGGACTAGCGGTTACAGGAGGAACAGATGTTTTGGGAGCAGATGCAGCTGGAGTTTCTCCGACCCTTAGATGATAATAAAGTAAGGTTAATTCTACTTCAAAATATACTAAGCAAGGTTCAACGCACATCCATGCTGCAAAATTATTACCTTTCACCCTGAACAGGGCTACGAGCCTCACTCACAGCCTCTTCATAACTAGGAGGGGCACCAAGATTTTGTTCAGAATATTTCCGTTCAAGCGGCCTGCCTGAAAAACTGGTACAATGAAGACAAACAATTGTGAATAGATAGATAGTTCTCAAATTTGTTAAAAACATTGGCCTAAATTATCTACAAACGCCAATGTTTTAAGACAGGCTCACTATAATACCTTCCTTCTTGAGAATGATCATCAGCCTTAGCACCACTGCCTCTGCTATAAGAAACGGCTCAAGTTAAAATGGTTTCTAGAATCGAGGTCCTATTTATGGCATCACCAACATGCTTCACACAAAAAAAGGATATAAACTTTCTGGACAAGCATTGTACTAGTTTAAACAGTCTTTCTGATATGCAGAGTTCAACAAAGTGCCAAACTACATTATATTTGGTTCCTTGTTTTTACAGCCGTCTTTCATGAGCAACCTACTGCATACTTTTAATTCCATTTCTATTTTAATAAATTCTCTCTCAAAATATTAAACAAATCGGAGAACATGCTTTAGATTCTTGATGACAAATAAATAACTAAATTTAACCAGTAAAATAAATAAAACCATAGCAAGATATAAAAATTCCCATACCTAGCTGAATATTGACCATCATCTCCATAAGTACAGTCCCTCTCTCTGTTAGCACTCCTACTTCTCGAGCCATACTGAGAGTCATCAATGCTTCGACTTCTTCCCCGGGAATCATCATCCCTATAACCATCTCTGCCATAGCGTTCATCAGAATCTCTACTATGGCGTTCTCCATCACGACCATATGAGTCCCCATACCTACCATAACGATCATCATCCCTATATTCTCTTTCTCTCCCATGACCATTCCGGTCATCATCTCTGCTTCCGTAGCGGTCATCATCTCTGCTTCCGCAGTGGTCATCATCATATCCTCCTGTACTCGAATATGATCCATGCCTATGCATACCACCCATTGATGCGTTGTGAAACCTGAGTCACAAAGCCTGGTCAAAAACATCTTCCATGAAAGATTTCATGCGAAGGCAAAAAATTGTTCAATTAATAGTTTTCTCATATCTAAAAGAAGCAGCAGAAAAACATGCCATGAAAAAAAAACTACAACTTACTAGATGTTCAAGAAAGCACAGAAAACAATGTTGCTATCCTCCTAAAAAAGAAAGACAAACGGTTTTCTTCATATTTTTTTTTTTTCCTTGTTTAGGAGGGGGGGGACTACCACTTCCTTCTCATAAACAAGGATGATAACTTCAGGATGCCATCAATAGATAGCACCAGCAACAGTTAATATTTGTAAAACTGTGAATCATATTTAGATATACACAGCCATAAGGAGAACATTTGACACACGGAAATGTAGCAAAATTAGAATGTTGCCAAGATTAGGAACTTTCTGGAAAATTTTCATAACCTATAGATAGAAAATAGTATTTCCGTCCTTTATGGGATGATATCACTTTCAACAAGCAGAAAGAAACCAAAGGCAACAATTTAAGTGTGATGTACTGTGTCTTGAAACTATGAAACAGAAAAAGAAGCATCACATCAGGCTCTGAGATGATCATACATCATGGCAAAGTAGCTTCTTGGTAAACTGAAGGCTAAACAAGAATCACAAATTCACAATTGAAGTCCAACTGGTTGTGAATCTGAGATAAGAAATGCATTGTTGATGCTTGATGATGAAAATTGGAAGGATCCAGCAATAATTTGAGCATATTTGCAAAACCATCGAAGTTACAATTTATAATCCTGAAAATATTTTAGCTAACAACCCTGGGGAGCAGACTCACTTGTCCCTGTTAGCAGCAGCCTTCTGTCGCACTTCTTGTATTCTCTCTTTATCATTCGCAAGAACCACAAGACTCTGAGATTTCTTTCTAACGTTGCTTCCCTGGTCCCTTCCACCGGAATCAATATATTGAAAATCGGACAATGTCTATCACATGATAACAACATTCTCATTAGCAGGGGAAAAAAATCATTAAAAGTGTAGGTGCCAAATAGCTTTAAGGAACTGACAGTTACCGATATTTGATATGAATGTTCCTTGATTTCATCTATGACACGATCTGACCCATGGGCAACCAAATATTCCAAAACAGTCAAAGCCTGAAACAAGATAACGCATTTGTCAGCTACATTGCTTCAGCAGAATTACAAAAGAAAACAGGACATGAGATAGATATACACTTGAAATGAAAATAAAGGCTTGGCACGAAGTGTAGGACAAAGCAATATAATTTAGAAGGATATCCATTAAGAAGATGATTTCAAAATTTTGTATCACCTGGAACAAAGGGCTCTGAATGTGTACATGGATTGGGTGGGTGGGGGTGTAGCTGTGGGTGTCTGAGTGTGTGTGTGTGAGAGACAGAGAGAGTACAATAACAGCTTCAAAAAACCACTGGAAACTGGCAGGAATAACAAAATAATTCAAAAAGAAAGAAATGAAAAGGAAAGAAGGAAAAAAAGGCAACTGACAATAACAAAAAATTGCAGACCTTGTAGACATGCCGCCAATTCTTGCCAGTATCATTTATACGCTTCCAGATTACCACCATGATAATCTGGTACTCATTACTGCATGGATGAACAAGAATAAATCCCTTCGGAGCAAAATAAAAATCATAAGGTACTTCACAAAAGAATTACTTAATCTTACTAGTTTCTAGTAGCCTGCGCAATATCAGCAAGAAGAGATCCATGAGGACCCCAAGGCTCATTGCTAGTAGCATCAAGAACCTGAAATAGAATAGAAGCAAAGGTACTTAGTTTTTCATCAATAAAAAATAATTACATACTAGAAGATCTTAATAGATAATCTGTCATTGCATTTTGAGACCATCCCTCTAATCGTCAAATATTTCAAAATATAATCAGCCTGCAGACCAAAGTAGTCATTTAAAACATGCAGATTTCATTTTCTTTTGCTTTTTCTTTTCTTTTTGTATTTTTTTTTTTTTTACAAGACTTGAACCCAAGCATCACACACAATAAGGGAGCTCCTCATCCACTAAGCCAACCCCTTGGCCTTGTATTTTCGACCATTCAAAAACTGAATATTTTGGAAATTCTAGGAATCGCACAGGGATGGCAAAAGAACATTTTAAAGCACAATGGAAACATTTGAATCCCCATACTAAAACCTGTGTGAATGTACAAATAAGCTAAATAATTGACAGACGGAAGATGATTGACGTCTACATGTCCCATCCCATGCAACATTGACTACTCTAAATGGGTGGCGTAACCTTGTCGGACGAACTTTTCTCGGACAAGAATATGAAATACATGTCTAATTGGACATGCACGTCTGAAAATTCACATATACTATAAAATGCACTCAAGATCCCTTGAATATGTTAATTTGTAATATCCTACTTCAAATGAGTGTGGTGTCAAGCTTAATACTCTACATGACATGAGCATACCAATTTACCCAAGAAAGTAAAAAAAGAACGTTAAGAAACGTGAACTCTCTCCACGTGCCATTAGAATTGAGACATAGATGCATTAGACACTTGGACATATACTTGCACCTACAACACATTAACTGTCAATAAAACATGGTGTATAACCATTCAAATAAAGGGCACAACTATCAAACTAAGATAATGAAAACCAAAAGTTACTCAAGTCGTACATGAAATCATTGTTATCCTATAAAGCATAGATACTTCACAAATAATGTCCTACAAGTACCAAGTACATATCCAATAAGACTACACGCGTACCAAAATACATATTCATTTTGTTAATTTTTTTATTTTTGGGTATGACTCGGTTACAACATGGGTTTCTCATAGGGTAATTTTATATCAAGGCTAAAATGTAATTTTTGAAAAAATGTAAGGGTATCGGAATAAGTATATTGTCTATTTTTATAAACTCCAAAAATAAATGGTCTTTGCAAATGTCCCAAATCAAAATTTAAGTTTAGGGTTCACTCTTCTCTCTCTCTAAATCTCTCTTGGTTCATAGAAAAGCCATATGCCTCTCTCTGTCTCACACTCACAAATCCTGTCGACTTCAATGTTGATGCCTCCACAATCGCCTTTGCCTTTTGATACAGTGTTTTAAAAAGCTCTAGTCGCACTGAGGATATAAGGTCTCTTATAGCCTAAGCACAAGGCGCGAGGAGAGGCGCGCGCCTCACCAAAGCGAGGAGCAAGTTGTAAAAGATAAGCAAAATTTTAACATAGGCAAAGTTTTCAACATAAACAAATATATATAGAATTCTGAAAATCACAAAGCAAGTTTCACCAACTAAAAAATCGAAAGATAAACATTCAACATTTCAAATAATCCTTAAACGTGACATTCAAACTTCTAAAAAGAAGAAGAAGGGTTGGAGTAGAAAAGAAGAAGAAAGAAGAAGAAGAAGAAGAAAAACTATGGTTGGACCAGCAAAAGAAAGCAAGAGAGAAAAAAAAGAAACAGAGAACCAACAAAGAAGAAGGAAAAGAAGAAAAAAGATAAGAGAGAAGAGAAGAGCAAAGAAGAGAAGAGAAGAACCAGAAGAAGATGACGTTAATCATTGATGAAGAAGACCACATTGTTCCCTCTTCCACGTTTGTCAATCTCTTATTTTAATTGCTATGTTTTTTTATCACTTTTCTGATCTCTTTTCACGCATTGGTTCATTTTATATTAAAAGGTTGTAATCCCCTATGGGTATGCACACAATAAATCACTTAAATCAAGTGCTGGAGTAAAAAGCAACATAAAGCCCATAAGGCCCTTGCCTTGCGCCTCATCCCCAGGCGCGCACCTCAGTGCCTATCGTGCACCTTCTGTTCTGTGTCTCGCCTCGACCTGCTTGGAGCATATCACTGCGCCCTACTCCAACTCGCCCTATCTTCATCTTCTTCTATGGTTTCATTTTTTCAGCAGCCATCTCTCTTTCGATCGGAATCAAATCTCATCTCTTTTCTCACTCCCCTCAGAGTCTCACAAATCTTCGACGCCTTTCGATAAGCCTCCTCTCCTTTCCAACTCCATCTAACAGGCCTCTTCTTCTCTAATTTGTACCTTCTTTAACTACTTTTTGCATTTGATTTTCTAACTATTAGATATCATGCATTACAACAAATTATAAAATATATTTTCATGGACATACCCTGGCCATACCCAAATTTTTTTTATTTGTTGTATTGAGATTCCATCAACAGACTCGTACCAAATCAATATCCATATCTATGCTTCATAGTTGTTATCTAATACAAGTGTTGATGATCTAAAAGTGCATAATATCATAACCAAACTAGCTATGGAAACTAATCAAAAGTAATAATAATAAAAGTAATAAAAAGATGCATGTAATTGTTTTTGTATGTGCATGCATGATAAGGAGACTATGAACGATTTGCTCATTCATTGTGAGGTAGTTTGGGAGCTTCGATCTTTGGCCCTTTCTTTGTTTGATGTTTGTCTAGGCCTTTTCATAACGAGAGCTTTTGAGGCATGGGGAGGAGCTAGTGTGGTCAAAGGACAAAAAAAGGCTTGAAGGATTATCCATCTAGCGATTATGTGGTTGATTTAGGGTGCACACAACAGAAGAGCTTTTGCGAGAGATGCTATGAATTTTGAAAATTAAGAGCCTCTTTTTTTCTTTAATGTATAGTCAATTTTCCAGGAGGGTTAATCCATCATCGAATCAATTTTTGGATTTTGTAGAGATGCTGGTGTAAGAGTTTCTATATAGTGTGGTTTGATCTTTTTTGTATACAGGTTGGGCAGCCCTTGGTCCCTTTTTTGTTTTAATAAATATCTTTCTATTGATCAACAAAATAACTAACAACTTCAAATAGGATTTAAGGTGGAAGAGAGTCACCTTTATTAAACAAAAGCTGGAAGGTTAGTCAAAGGCAAAATAAGTATTAAACCATTTTCAAAAAGTGGAACATAAAAAATGATAAAATTACCAATAAACAAAAAAAAAATAATCAGTGTTTGGTTTGGGTTTTTTGGATTAAGTTTTTTGAAAACTGAGTTTTTTGGTTTTTCGGTTTTTCGTATTTTTTTGTTTTTAGTGAACATTTTTAAAAAAAAATTACTTTTTAGATGCACCTTACTTACATGTATCTATAAAGTAAAAAATTTGTGAAAAAATATTTTAAAAAATTAATAAATACATAAAAATACAAAAAATGTATTGAATTCTCGTATTTTTTTGTATTTTTGGTATTTAGTGAATTTTTAAAAGGTTTTTTTCACAATTTTTTTACTTTTTAGGTATATTTATGTTAGGTGTGTCTAAAAATTTAAAAAAAAAATGCTTAAAATATTAAAAAAAATTCAGTAAAAACAAAAAAACACAGAAAATAAGAAAGAAGAATTTCTGAAAAGTGTTTTTAGAAAATGTTAACCAAGCAAAGTGAATAATTTGTTAGGATTAGAGAATGAAACTCGAGATACCAAACAGTAAATCTAGTTTTTAAGAGAAACAAGGAAGAAAAAGAAAAGCATTTAATGCAAAAGAATCTAATTTTTAGTCATCCTCTCGACTACTGAGTGAATCATACTCCTCTATTTCTCTCATCTTCTCATTCTACTTTCTCAAATTTCTAAAAAATCCAAGATGTTCTCTTTACTTTCATATGTTTTTCTTTGCTTGATAACAAAATATTTTACGACAACGAAAACAATATTCATAAGACACTTGGGATATATGTGTGTTTATGTATATTTCAATGGTTTTGGTGTGTTTCAATTAAAAAGGTGAAATTCCCAGCTAAACATAACATTTCTGCCATTTCAGAGAAAACAAAACAAAATTTTGTTCCTCAATGGCATTGCAATGCACCGCTCACCATTAACATTGACGGCCAGTGGCTACAGCTCAAGTCCAGAGTAGGGTTCAATGCATGACAGCACATAAAACTCATTTGGTGTCTTCCAATTTTTATCCACTCCTATTAATTATTGAAGCACAATATCACAGCTGGGGTTAGATAAAAGCCATAATTCCACATAAAATAACCGGTGATGCTTGATTTCTATAGCTACAAACCAGATAACTGCAGTTAGAATCAGAGCATCTTGTCTAGATAGTGCATACTATGAAAGCTGAATGGTACACCTACTAGCTTTTCTCAAAGTTATCATATTGTGCATTACACTATGTGCAGCTAATAGGTTTATAAATGACTATTATCCACAAAAGATAGTTATGCACCAAGCACAAAGCCACAGTAACACATGATTCGAATCCGACACATATAAACCAGTGCCCCGTCTTCAATTGTATTTGGGGAAAAAATTAAAGAGCTCAAGTCCAGTAATGTTTTTCGTCTACCCCAAAGTTATCCCTCTGGGGAAATGTTTTGCAAAGATGCATGTCTTTCCTAGACTATTAAGCACGGGTACTCCAAAAATTTTGCCGTACTCGTACCGAATACTTACCAGGTATGGTACTCGTACCGATAGGGCTGCATGCATACCGGATACTCGAAATGCATACCAAGTACTTCTTATGCATTCTTTGGCAGTTGGATACTTCATGGATATGAGATGGGTACATTGAGGGTACACCAAGCTATGAGACATTGGTGGAGATACTTTTAATTTATTAGAGAATTTTAATTTACTTGAAATTACAAATCCTTCACTTAATGTGTCAGAGATGAAAGATGTATTATTTAATGATGAAGTTGATGTAAGTGAAAATTAAAATTTTAAGTTTTCAAATTTGCTTTGCTTTACTTAGCTTACTTTTGGAATGAAACTTTATTTTGTAATTTCTCCTATGACATTAAAACAGCTTATAAACTTTGCTTTAGTATTGGTATTGTTGAATTATGATTTCTCTTTTGGTTTTGTGATTTTTTCTTTTAGTTTTGGTATTAAACTTTAATTTGTAGATTGAATCTCAAACTAAAAATTAAAAAAATTATTGGCGTACCCCAGTCATACCTGTATCCTATTTTTTTATGTCTTGCCGTATCGGCGTATCGGTAACATACCCGTACCAATATCCGTACCCGCACCCGTGCTTCATAATTCCTAGATTATTCGGTATTACTCATCTCATCCCAGCACCCATGACTCACAAGTACCAACACTGGAGTCCCCTTTTTACATCTACTAGATTATTACTGAATAATGTTTTAGTGTGTGTGTGTGCATGCACCTATACTGCTAAGCATCCCAATAAAAAAAAAACAAAACCATAAATACAGAAAGTTACCTTCTGTTCTACTCCAGGAACTTTAAGAACTTTCTTATTCACCTCCCTCTTACTGCAAGAAAACAGAAATAATAGAACACCATGAGTTGGGGAGGTTGTTACAGACTGACCGAAACATGAGATAATCCTTAAAGCAATAAACCCAAACAATCATGTATTTACTATGTATACAATCATAAAATCGATCACAAAATAATAATAAACTTTCCTAAGCAATCCATAATGATTACTTCCGCAAAAAGCTTCCAAAAACCAAGAAAACCTACATGTCCCGAACTGTTTGATCAAAGGCCTTCTTCATTGCAGCTTTATTCTACTATGCAAAAATTCACTTCAACAGGGAGACTTCAAATTTTCTTTGCGTCCTGCTGAAGAAATGACCATCCATAACAATTATGAGGCACTTCCGGTGAACAACCAAAAACAAAGGACATCTGGTAGCAATCACATTATGGTGTAACAGCACAGAACAAGTGCAATAATATAATATATTGAGAACTATGTAACAGAATTGAGGATTTCAAACTGGGATTTGGGGCACCTAATTCTATTGCCATTGCAACATTGAAATTATATAATACTTGAATTCTACACCATACAAACTGGCAAACATCATCATAAGAATCTCTTTTCCAGTAAAAATGAAAATCACTACAAAAATTCCCAATTTGCAGCTACATTCACACAACCAGTAGACACTAGCAAACTTTCAAAAATGATATGCAAAAATTCAATCTTTCCAGTATAAAGCAACCTATTCCAGCCCATCAAAATCCAATGAAATGGCATAAAGGAATGTATTGCATTTAGAAATCTACAAAGGCAAAACCAAGATCTAGGAACCATATCAGAATTTCACAACTACAAAAGATTGTATTCAAGTAATTAACAAATCTAATTCCCATATTAACATATCAAGCAAAAAAATGAGACGATCAATGAATGAAAATGATCACAGAAATGGTTAGTATAGCCAATCTAACAACATAAAACCCTATTTAGGATAGATTCTGAGCTCAATCTGTGTTAAAACAACAAAATTGAGATCCAAAAACCCGAGAAAGAATCAAACCCAGATCTGAAACAATCGATCAATCACCACAATTCGGAATTGAAGCAAACCCAGATCTAAAAGAGATAAAAGAGAGAAGAAGATATCAAACCTGATCGAATTGAACCCAAGAAGGTACCCAAGTCCAGATCCGTTGATGCTTTCTGGTAGAGAGAGAGGAACGAAAATTGCGAAGAGCTCCTAAAATCAAATCAAACTGTATTTGTGTTGTTCAAATAATGGCAATGTGAGAGAGAAGAGGCGTTTGGGAGGGCTTGGTGTTTCTCTCTCTAGAATTCCGGAGCGAGGGAGAGAGCAAATACAGAGGAATTCTTCTTCTACGCAGGAATTGGAATTTATGCTACAAATTCTTTTTGATCTATATATTTTTTGAAAAAAATTAAATTAAATTTTATTGGGAAATTTTTTTTAAGATCTCTAATAATAGTAATTTAGAACATACATTAGACCCAAAAAAATGGGTGATGGATCATGTCTCTGAACTATATGGTGTGTATTTTTAATTATTTCGTATACCAAAATATCCTTCACAAATCAACACAGAAACAAAATTGGATACTGACCACTGAGTTCTATTCCAAGTATCCAACTATTTTCACGAGCAAGAGAACAGCAAAATTAAGATTTTAATATCATTTTCACTATCGATATTAGAGTTTCATTATTTTCTACAAAAATCATTTCCATTCGTTCCTCAAATATTTCTTTGACCCCGTTTTCACTGTTCATCGTCATCTTAGTTCATTTTTGTCACGCCGCATCTTCATCTTAATTGCATTTTATATTAACCTTCCATTAATTAGGGTTTCAATTTCATAATAAAAAACTATATGAATTTGAAAAAAATTATTTCTCTGTGTTTTGAACTTATTCTTGGACATGTTTGTGTGATTTTATCTGTAAATTTCTCTGACATTTGAATTCTCTGATTTTTGCTTGGTGTATGTTTATTCTTTGAATTTTCTTTGGCATGTTTATTTTGAAAAAAGTTATTTCTCTGTGTTTTGATCTTATTCTTGAACATGTTTCTGTGATTTTATTTATAAATTTCTTTGCTCTGTAAATTTCTCTAGAATATGTATTTTTCTCTGGAATGTCTATCTTTCTCTGAAATGTCTATTACTCTCTCTTGTCTGTGTCTAAGTTTCTCTGGCCTTTATAACTTTCTCTGGCTACATCACTTTTCTCCCTCGTGTGTTTCTATCATGTTTAATTTTCTCTGATTGTGTATGTAAATTTCTCTGGCATTTTAATATTATAGACTGGAATGTATGTTTCTTCTTTAAATTTTCTCTGGCATGTTTATTTTGGAAAAAGTTATTTCTCTGTGTTTTGATTTTATTCTTTAATATGTTTCTGTGATTTTGTCTATAAATTTCTCTGCTCTGTAAATTTCTCTGGCATTTGAATTTCTCTGGTTTTTGCTTGATGTATGTTTCTTCTTTGAATTTTCTCTAGCATGTTTATTTTGAAAAAAGTTAATTTTCTGTGTTTTGATCTTATTCTTGAACATGTTTCTGTGATTTTGTCTATAAATTTCTCTACTCTATAAATTTCTCTAGAATATGCATTTTTCTCTGAAATGTCTATTTTTCTCTAGAATGTCTATTACGCTCTTGTCCGTGTCTAAGTTTCTCTGGCATTTATAATTTTATTTAGCCACATCACTTTTCTCCCTTTATCATGTTTAATTTTCTCTGGTTGTGTATGTAAATTTCTCTGGCATTTGAATATTATGGACTGGAAATTTTTCTGAAATGGAAATTTTCTCAAGAATTTGTAATTTTCTCAAGAATGTGTAATTTTCTCTAGTATGTTTTTTTTGTTCAGTTCTTGGTTTCAATGTTGTGTAATTTTCAGTAGCATATTTACGTTGCTTTGTTTATTTTATTTTGCTAATTGTGGAATGGAAATTTTATTTGGCTTGCCATGTTTACTTTTCTCTGTCATTAATTTTCTGTGCTTGTTAGATATATGTTTCTTTTTTGAATTTTCTCTGGCTATATTTTACTTCTATATATAATTTTAACAATTATTGAAAAATTATCTAGCATGTTTATGTTGCTTTGTTGATTTTCTCTAGGAATAGAAATTTTCCGTGACTAGATGTATTCCACAGGAAAACAATTAGTACTCTGGCATTTAAGTTTTACTGTCTAATTTTCCCTGAAATTTATATTTTTCCCTGGCCACCTTAGTTTTATTCTTTATGTGTAATTTGCTCTAACATGTCCAATTTTCTCTAGCATGTTCAATTTTCTCTGGGATTTAATGTTAACATCTTTATGTTTTCATCATTGTCTAAAAATGGCAAAATGTAAAAGCAGCAAAACACCGGAAAACACAAAATAAAAAATAGAAACTCTCTCAGTCTTCTTATGATCTAAGATCAAAAAGTAGCAAAACACCACAAACTCCTTGCCAAAACACACAAGTACAAGGTGATAAAGCAATTAGCATCAAGATGAATACCCCAACTTCAAAAGACTCAAGCTCAAGGGGGAAAAAACCTATCAAACTCTAAAGAAAGAGAGCTCATTACAGCATTCAATACCGATCTAACCTCTCATCTGTTGTCTCCTTTTTTCAAACACTTAAATTCAATTCAAACCAACTTGTAGAGCTTCAAAAGACCCCATTCTGGTATTTGATCCAAGCTCTAACCATTGGAATGATGGATCAAAGGAGATCTAGGAAATCTGATGATGATGTAGTTGCAATAATCCAATGTTACAATGAAAAAATAAAAGCATTCACAGTTGGTAAAAAAAACTTGACATTTACAACCAATGACATGACCTTGATTTTTGGTTTGCAAGGAGTAAAGGAGCCATGTCATTAAGATACTCTAAAAAGCCAAAATCTGCATTCCTAAGGAGAAAAGTCCCAAAGGACACAAGGTTCACTGATCCTGTTCTTAAAAATGCCTCAATCAAAGCAATAAAGGCAAGCAACCAACTGACTTGAAAGATGTAGTAATCATTGTTACATTGTACTTGTGTCTCACCCTATTTTTTGCAACAAGTGGGAATTCAATAGGGTGGGTTTTTATAAAGTATGTGGAACCTCCTGAATCAATGAAACAGTATAATTGGCCAAAAACAATCACATCAACATTTATTGATTCAATCATAGCTGTAGACGTGCCTGAACGTCCCGGCTCCGCGCGCGAATAGCGCGAAATCCGTTTTGTTCATTAGCTACTACAGTTCGGACTCAATGTCACGGTTCTAAATCTAATCTCGCAAAGTGCAATGCAAGGCCGATAAATCACTAAAGAGTCCAAATCTGGCAAACCGTTTTGGAAAACTGATTTTAATAAAGAAGTGTCAAACATAGACTGCTTTGCTAGATACAGAGTCGCCACCTAAATGTTTTATTTTGGGAAATTTAGGAAACCCTGACTCGTGCCTAAGGCCACGTGTCCGTCATCGCCAAAGTTTCCTCGGCTCGGGAACTTGGGTACGAGAGGGGAAGGTCATACAATGAGCACCCCCGCTCGCCCGATCTAAAGATCGGCCTTTACTAACATGATATTTTGTTTTTGAAAATACATGTGTTCTTATTCCGGTTTATTAATTTAGCTTACTACGTGATGCACACAACATACAAGTATAGACTAGATCGCCTAAGTTGGAACATAACATCTCATGTTTGTTTGAAAATGGTTTGAAGGTGCTACTCGCAAGTAGACTAAAACGTGGATTTGCCACCCTCAAGTGGGCTTAGAAAATATGATTTTGCCACTCTTAAGTGGGCTTAAAACTCGCATTTCAATGAATTGTTCTAATTCAAGCAATCCAACCTTCACTCATAGGCATTCAGGCAGTTATATCATTTAAGCAAATAGCCTCATGGCAAGCATGCTGTCATGGCAATCAATAACACACATGCAGGGATGCTAAAGCATAAATACTTACTGTGTACTCTGAGCCAAAACAACAACTAGTTAGTAATCAATACATGATTCTAGCTATGTTAAGATGCCTAATGCAACACATGCAAAAATGCAACTAAAATAGGCTCGGCTATTCTAAGATGGCATATGAAATGCAACTTGATAACATGCTGTTGAACACATATTCAAGTAAATGTATTAAAATACAATGCAGTTTGTATGATGCGCCGAGCCCGGTGCATGCAAGACAGATAAATGAATGCAAACATGCAAGCATAAGGATGCTAATCAAAATATGACCTAAAACTAACCATCGTAAGTGGTTAAGTAAAAGGGAGAAAGACGTGGGGTTGGAAGACATTCACACACTCATGCACACTTATTACAAAATTCGCCCTCTCAACGAAGGGTCCGAATGAATAATACAAGCTAGCTACGCTAAGCTATTCTAACTAATCTAATAATCTAATTAGACTAATTATTACATAATCAAATTGAATATTAGCTAAGCTAAGCTAATTAAGAATTTACAACGATTAATTAAATTAGCTAACACATTAACTAATTAATTACAAATTAACTAACTATACAAAGCAGTTAAAACAGCCTCGAGAAGAGGGCCATATGCATGCTCGATCGACTTTGCTCGGAAATCCGTTGTCATGCCTCATGTTGCCTCTGTTTGCATTGTTTTGCACTTCTGAAAATTATGCCAACTTCTGTGATGCTTTGGACCTACCTTATGGACATTCTGAGAGGTCATCGGCCAAGAGGGGTGGCCATCGGCCAGTGGATAATGGTCATCGACCAATTTTGAGACTATCGGCCAAATATTTGCAGCCGATCGGCACACTAGATAGTCGATCGTCCATCTCTTCCTGCAAACTCCTCCTTTTGCTGCAGCAGAGTACAAACAGAGACATGGCAATACATTTGCAAGAAAATGTTTGTACAACCACACTCCTTATCAGGTTTGAAGCTCAAATGAGTGTAGTGCTCGACTCTCAAGCCATTAATTATGCATTTCGATGCATGATGGCCAAAGAGGCCGAGTTATACAAATCAATATGGATAAAATGCACAAAAATACACATAAATGCCTTAACCTCTATCATGCATGATCAAGAGGGTCGGTGACCGAGAATTGAGGCACGTTTCATCACTTCAAGTATGAAACGTCCCTCGTTCCTCGTGCTTGGTTTAACACTCAAACCAAACACAATGCAATGCATGCACAACTTAACAAAGCTAATGGCATGCAAACAATGCAATGCAACCTAAAAATGTAAACAACATGGCATGCAACAAGTATGTAACAATGTTATGTAATGCAACTAGCATGCAACAACATGCAATGTACCAAGCATGCAAAAACATGCAATGTACCAAGCGATGCAACAATATGCAATGCGACAAGCATGCAACAACATGAAAAATGGACTTAAACTAAAATGGACAGACCTCAATCATGCCCAAATCAGTGGCCAAAACACCAAAACTAAGGCACCAAAAGACAAAACATGCATGCACACATATTGGTCCACAAGCTAGGCAACAAGAACACAA